AATAATAAAATTACTTTTATATAAAAATAAGTTTATAGTAATTACATTATAATTAATATGTAAAATTATATAAAAATCATTACTACTTAATATTAATATTATTATTTTATATAAAATTTATTTTATAGTCAAATGATAATAATTGAAAAGAAAAATATATAAATGATCCATGAAATTATATTAAAATAGAAAAGTAAAATAGGATGAAAAAAAATAATACCTGTTTTAAAATCAAATTTAAATCACCGTAAAGTAATAAAGAAAAGATTTAAAAGAAGAAAGAAAAAGAGGATTGGGGGGGGGGTACATTTGCATTGAGTAAGGTCGGAAGTCGCATTAGATCGATCACAAGGATACAAGGAACGAAGGGCCGAAGGGCCAAAAGGTATAAGAGCGTAAAAAAGGGTGAGCTTGGTGTCTTACACGCGCGCGCATTCACTCTTCCAAATGCTTGAGAGCTGACCATGCTCTCGTGAAAACGAACTCAAACGCAAAAGGTGGAAAAGAAGGAGGAAAGGTGGATGCAAAAAAAAATAAAAAAAGGAAAGAGAAAGAGAGAAGGAAAAAGAGGAAGATGAGAAAGATGGGTGGAGTTGTAGAAGGAAAAGAAGGAGGATGAGAAAGATGGGTGGAGTTGTAGGAGGAAGATGAGGAGAAAGATGAGAAGATGGAGGAAGAGGAAAAAAGAAAAGGACAGAGAAACATAGGAAAAGCAAACGAAAGAGGAATGCAACACGCTTGCGCGCACGTAGATGCGCCAGCTATCGTTGCAGCGTCGATAAAAGCGTGGGTCCATCCACGGAGCGTGCATTTCTCGTGCGCCTGTAGTACCGGCAACCCGGCATACGCGAATCATCCTCTTTTACCATCCCAGTTTTACTATAAGAAAATACAACAACAAAATACAACAAAAAACTCCATCCAATAAAAAAAAAATTCAATCGGACGTTGATCATTCATTTTTTCTTTTTCTTTTTTTAATATCTACGATTAACAAATGAGAAAAATTGATTTAATTTTATCTTCAATCAAAATAAATCGCAATTATTTATATGTGTAATAAACAAACGATTTTTATGAACGTTTATTATTATAGACATTATCTCGTGTTTTAAAGTGTGTTGATTTTTTTTTTTTTTTTTAATTTCCTCTCCATTGAGTGAAAATAAAAAAAGGAAGGTGAAAAGAAATAGGGGAACGACGAATCGGACGTTGTGATAGTGTCGTCGTGTGGTGAATTTATTTGAGATTTGAGAAATCAATCGAAAATAAGTAAAAAAAGATAGACCAATAAGAGAGACTTGATTTAATTAATCAAAAATTCTCTTGGAAAATTATAAATAAAATCAAAGAAAAATAATACTTAAATGTGTGTATCTGTGTGAAATATCAAATACTGTGTGTTAAAACCCGGACTATGATCATAGATCGTCGTTAACGAGATACATCGAGATTGATACCTGATGAATCAGGTAAGATAGATACCGATTAAACAATAAATCGTTTTTTTTATTTCATATTCCATTTGGAATTGTCTTCTTTTGTTTCAAGTCATCGATTTATATTCAATTTTAATAAAAAATTATTTAAATAGAAATACGTGGATACAGTTGTTCATTTGAACATTCCTAATAGATTGCATTCTCATTTAGAAAAAAAGAAAAGGATGTTCAAAGTAAGAAAAAGATGAGAAGATCATAAGCAGCGGTTATTAAAAGTCACCGACACGTGAAAGCCTCGAAGGCGATGTGGAAACTTTTTGATTGGAGAAAATAGAGTGTCTGATAATAAAGGAAAAACCTAGACGAGTTTATTTTTTTAATTTTAATTTCTATTTTGTTTGTTTTCGTTATTCTACATTTATTTCTCCTCTTCTCTCTCCTTTTTTCTTTTACACATTCTCTCTCTCTTTTCTTTTTTTTTCCCCTTTCTATGTCTGTCTCTTCGTAATTGCGTCGATTAACAGGGACAATGGAAGGTGACGCGATATTAATGATAATAGAACCGAGGTAGATGAAACATCGACTAGACGTCGAGTCACCACGAATATTAATGTGGTTGACATGCTAGAATACACCATGTATATATTTATTATAAGTATATTATATGTGAACATATATAAATATATATGTGTGTCTGTCTGTCAGTGTATGTATATAGAATATATATATATATATATATATCGGCGGGGCGTCGTTATTCAACGATCGCTTAACTTATGCACGATACAAAAGAGTCCATTAACGCGCAGCGAGAGGCTCCGCTCAGCTCAGCTCAGCTCGCTCGCTTTGAGTCTCGTGGATATTTTTCTGAAAATTTGTGCGTCCTGAATCAGCGAACAGCAGCAGCAGCAGCTAGCAATGCCACGTCGGCGGCGGCTTGGTTGGTTGGTTGGTTGGTTGGTTGGTTGGTTGGTTGGTTGGTTGGGTATTCAGAGTACAAACGTTGAATAGAAAAAGAGTAGTGGTGTATAAAAAGAGAATGAGTACGAAAGTGTAGGAAAAAAGACACTGAAACAAAGTTGGAGATTGAACCGAGTTAAAGGTAAAGAAAGAATGAAAGAGAGAGATAAACAAAGTGAAAGAATAAACGTGTTAAGAAAAGAGAGAGAAAGAGAGAGACACGGGAGATAAAAATGAAAATAATTAACGAGTTAAAGAAGACAAAAGTTAGAATAATAATTAATGAATTAGACACACTGAGAGAGAAGGATAAAAATTTAAAAAATCAGTGAATTAAAAAGAAGGAAGATAAATGGTGTAGAATAATGTATTAGGTTAAAAAGACATACGAATTAAAAAAAAATTAATACATTAGACAAATTGAAAAAAATGAGTATTATAATATCTTATCGATAAACGTGTGTATGTTATTGTATATAAAAAAAAGAAAACATAAGAGAGTGAATGAATGAATGAATGAGTGAGTGAATAAGAAAACAAGACTGAGTCTCTCTTTGTCCAAGGGAAGTAACATAAACCCTCCCCCATTCGTCACGGATCGCCCCTTCGGTAACGAGGGCTTTGAATCGGACACACTGTCACGTCGAAACACGAGCTCCGTAAGTGTCGGTCCCGCTTCATTAAATTCTGTTGTATGTTGAACCGCATTGTAGACGATATATATTCGGAAGATGGGACACCTGGCGAGCGACAGTCGTCCGACGCGTGTAGTATACCTACGACAATGGATCTGAACACCACCCTCGCATTGTCCTACAATTATGTCTACTTTTCTGTTGAAAAGTCTGACTGAATTTCTCATCATTATCATTCACACTGTTTAGTAAATTAGTAGAGATCGTTCTTCTTATTCTTTTTATATAAAAAATATGCACACCAATTTAAAATGGAATTATTGATTCGTGTGAATAAATAAAATATAAATCTTGTTAATTATACAAATTGATCCTTTCAAAGATGATATACTAAATGCTAAACTAGTTATATTTTGTAATGGAAAATTTTGTATTTTATGACATATAGTATTATTAGAAATATTGTTTGATTTATTATTTAAATTGATACTTTTAATTATTATTAATTTCTTTTATTTAAATCTTAATGACGTTGTGTTATAAATATTGTTTCATTATTTCCTACAAAAATAGTTTGATTAGAAATAAATTACATATACAATCTCGGAAAAATAATAAAAAGATACTTCTATTAGAGAAAATAAATGTAAAAAGTAATAAAATCGAGAGATTACAATAAAATAAGATAAAAAAAAGAGTAGATAAGATAAATGAAGATAAAATGAATTATAACGTTACTATAAACAATTATTTCCTAATTAAATCGTTGAAGCTTGTCTTCGTCGTGTAGGCGTGTAAGAGAATAAGTATCCCTATCTATTTCTATCTCTGTCTACAACCATTCTCTCTCTCTATCTTTCATTCTGATATGGTGGGTGTGGGTGGTGGTCGACACGACTATGGTGGGTGGGCAGCAACGGTCCCCTCGCCTACTCTTCGTCTCGGTTGCTGTTCGTCCTCCTATCGTCGTGGCTGGGTGACAGCAGGAAATAAAGGGCCGGCCGTGCATTAACGTCGACGGTCAAAGGGTCGCACCGAATATCGACCGAGACGCTCGACTCTCGACAGCGTTAAATTGCCATTTGTCGAGCGGGGAATGCTTCTGGTTAATGCTCGCTGAATATCGGCCAATATACTGGCCGCCTCCTCTTCCTCCTCCTCCCTCACCATCCTTAGTAACCCTCCTCTCTTTTCCTTCTACACCTCCGGCCAACGAGATCAAACCTATGTCAATTCTGGACCAACCAAATTTATCTCTTATATTTCCTAACCCCTCCATTTATATGTTTTAATATGTTAATGTTGGGAACAACGTTATATAATATGTTAATTAATATCTACAATTTTTATATCACAAAATTAGTTATAGAAAATAATGTATAATCTGTAGTTAATAACGTTGATTAAGATATTAATATTTATAAAGATGAAGTATGCGTTCTAAAATATTTTATATTATTGATGAAAGGTATAATTTAGAAATTAAATAATTGTCGAAACTAGAAAATTTCATATTTCTATATGCATGAGGAATATTTAATAAAAATGAGTTTTTTTGTTATTAAATTTTCTATGAACGATTTGGATAAGAATATTTCATGAAAATTCTTTGCTTTAATCTTGAATTATGTCTAGCGAATTTTGCATTTATCAAATTTCTTTTCTATTTCGTTGAAATTTACGTTCTATCAAATTAAATTTTGATCAAAATATTCAATAAAATATTATGTATAATATTTTGCCAATAAAAACGTTATCTATTGCAATATTGAAGATTTAATATAAATAATTTTCAAAAATAGTATTAAAAAAAAGGAACTCCTATGTCTTTAGTTGTATAAAGAAAATATCTAAAATTTAAATAATAATAAAACTAAAAAAAGAAATTCATTTTAATAATTACATTAGCATATTACCGATTGTTGTCTCTATCCGCTAATGATCTTTTTTGTTCAAATTACAGCACCGTAGACGTTATTTCCCGTACGATAATCACGTAACTCGAAGCAATTTCACACGGATACCTGTATCAGAAATAGAACGGAAATTCGTTGAACTGGAATGGAGAGTGCGGAGTTCTTCTATAACCATCGGAATCGTAAGTCTAGTTTAAAGTAATTTCTAGAAAAAACCTTTTTTCTTGTTATTTTTCCTTTTTGCTATAAGCCCTTTCTATCGTCGTTGACTTAATTTTCCTTGGTCTACTACGATTTCATCCAGAAACCACCAGGTGAGGGAAATGACATAGGGTGGTGGCATAGAGGGGTATGGGGGGTAGGATACAACGAGAGAATATAGAGAGGCGTTCTTCTATCGTATCGTCCGAAAATTACTTTCGCTATCCTGATCGCGTTTCCGATCGAGTTGCCGGGGCCAGTACGGAAAACTCGATACGAATTACAGCCCGGGGGTGCAATATCGGCCATTCGAACGATCCTCTCTTTCAACCTCTGACTACCTATAAACCCCCCTCACCCTTCCCCTTCTTCTATCCTCTCGATGGAGAATCCTCTCGATGGAGAATCCTCTCGAGTTCCTATACATACTATCTCCCCACCTCCACACCCCCCATAACATTCTCTAGACCATCTTTTTTTTTATATCTTTTCAATTTTTTCATTTTATTTTTATTCTTTGCGAATGATCACATACAATTCTTTTTTTAATTCTTTCTTTAACTCATCATTTATTAATTACTAGGATGATCTGGCTACACCTTGCTGTGGCCTTATTATAAAATGTTAATTTAATGTAATATTAAAGTATATAGTAAATTATAACAACACATAAAATAATATTACAATTAGAATGAAATATATAAACTAATAATACACGACAAAATATATAAAGTAAGGTTATGTCGTATGTAAATTGAAATTGAATTGTAATACAGCATCATTTATTGAAAACTTACAATACCTAGAGACCTAGATAACCTTTAAATAATAAATCCTTAAATTAGCAATAAAAAATAAAAATAATCGCGATAAAAACTATCCTGTGCACTAAGTCGAAAAAAATCACACAAAATAAAATAAATTTCATTAAGATCGGTTCAGTAGTTTTAAAAGTTCATCGGAAACCAATAATGTGACACAGACTTTTTATATATAAATATTAGGAATATTTTTTAAAGATTTTTTAAAGAAAATGCAATAATTACTGTATAATAATAATAATCATGATCATCTAAAGGAAGACGAGACAAATCGATGTCGTCCGCCATATTCATCGATATCAAAGTCTACTGTGCAAATGGATACCTATCGGAAGGTTGCACATAGATAGAAAGACAGACAGACAGACAGATAAAGAGAAAGAGGGAGTGAGAGAGAGAGAGAGAGAGAGAGAGAGTAGTACGGACCCTATTGAGTTACGGTCGTTGAACACGCGACGGCTGCAAAGGTCTGTATCAGCCACTCGTGGAAATCCCGGTACAGGGTGGTGGTTTACCCTCGCAGTGACTCGACCATTCTCTCGTATCCACCACGTCGTCTAGCATCGAGACGCAAGCTAGGTTGCTAGCTACCTAGCTAGCTAGCAACCTAACTAACTCGCTTTTCTCCAAAGGATTTAGCGAATACGACAGAATTTATACGCTCTTCTCTATCTTTCTCTATTTCTCTATTTCTCTATTTCTCTATTTCTCTATTTCTCTATTTCTCTGTCTCTGTCTCTGTCTCTGTCTCTTTTTAATTAAGTAGAAACTTCCTTCCTTCCTTCCTTCTTCCTATAAGTCGACACTTTGGGATTTAGCCTTTTAGAAATAAAATTTTCTATTTGTGTCGACAAATTTATTTTCAAATATTTAACATCAATATTGTCTATCCTTTCCTAATTATTCTAATATTTAGTTTTGGTTTTGATTTCATTTTCTTGCCGTTTGTATTCGAGGAATATTTGAAAATTCATTTTTAAACAGGATTTTATATTCTTACATAATATTTGATGAATGTACAAAGTAGCTTTGAAAAAAACTAAACTGAACAAGAATAAAAATAAAAATTTCTTTTTACAAGTTAGTTTTATAAGTGTTATACTATATTGTATAACTGTAAATTTTATCTTTCCTTATTTTAATTTAGTAAAATCTTTCCTATCTCTATTTCTCTCTCTATTTTTCTTTCTCTTTCTATCTTTCTCGCTCAGTTTCGTTCTTTTTTCTTTTCTTTTCTTTTTTTAAAATAAAACCTTCACGTAAAATAACATAAATGAGGTGAAGTAGTTTTAAGAGTCGAAATAGAAAAAAAGGAAGGGTATGCGAGATTTTCTCATTTCCTTTTTTTTTTTTTTTTTTTTAAATCATTCCTAAGTATTTCTCTCTCTATTTTCTTTCTTTTCCTACGAAGAAAAGTTGAAAAGCTAGACGTTTCTATGAGACGACAGCTACGCGGGATGATAGCAGAAGAGTTTTGCCGTTCGAGTTTTATCGTTTCATCGGTGGAATCGTTCGTACCACTTGCGACAATGTGCTCGACTCGTCTCTATTAAGAGTTGAACTGAGCTTTAGAAAGGGTAAAACGACGTACAGAACCTCGAGCAGATGCTAGCACGCTTACCAATACACACTCACGCATATATGCACGCACGTTTATATGTGTATTTTTTTTTCTTTCTCTCTTTCTTTCTCTCACTGTGTCTTTCATTCTGTCTTTTTTCCCCTTTTTTCTTTCTTGTGAACAACACAAAACGAATATTCCGTTAGTCTCTCTCTCTCTCTCTCTTTCTCTCTCTTTTTTTTCTCTTTTTTTTCTAGTTCTTTTCTTTTTTTTTTCTTTCTTTTAGCGAATGGTTACAGTTACTGGCAGGGAGAAGATCGTTCAAGCAACCCCTCCGACATCATCCGTCTCGGAATTCTTTTTCCCTTATTTCTGTAAATCCAAGACGAGAAAGGGGGGTTTACCCCACTCGTCTTTACTCTTCCTTCCCACCCCCGTCCCTACTTTTCGATTTGTGGGAAGAAATGACGCGGCATGGACCGATAAATATTCCTAGGTTATATAGAGAAATACCTTGGAGGGTTATAAACCCTTCTATCTATCTACCCAGTTTTCTATCTCTATCTCACTTACACCTACTTCTTCTTCTTGGATTTAGTCGTGAAAATAGAATAGAAAAAAAAGATGGAATAACGTTCGGAGTTTTCTTCTTCAAATGAGGGTGGTGAGATGGGTGGGGATATCAGGTAAGATGGCACTTATCCGTCAATCTAAAAGCATCCCATATTGGTCGTTGTCAAACTCGTTCTTGCGTAAAATTTCAATTTTCACAGGTTTTTTTTTTATTTCATGAGATAATAAAGTATATACTCGAAAAGTATCGATATACAAATGGAAGATGCGTTAGAGTAGTTTTCTATTGGTTATCATTTCATACATTCGTCAAATATTTATAATGATACCCTGAGTTATTGCATTTATTAATTCTTATGCATATAACAAGATTTTCCCATAGGTATTATCACAGAAATAATTTATGTTATCCAAAGCAGCAATCTTCTTCTTCTCGTTAACCCCTCGTTCGTTCATTCATTCATGCATTCATTCATTTTCTACCCTCTTCTCATCGGTTTTTTATCGACCACATGTTCAACGTGAACACACAGGTACTTGCATGCACTGTCTATTAGATCTTATCAATTTTTTTTTATCCTACCTTTTTCAACAGGATCGATCTTACAAAATCTAAATTATTATTTCAACTAATATTGAAAATAAAAAATTGTTCAAAATTAGTGGTATTTTTTTGGTACATCGATTATAATCGATACCAAAAATTTTATTGAATATTGATTATTATTGATATTATAAAAAAAATCTGTAATAACAATTAGATTTTCAATTATTTAAACTACGAGTTTAAATTAAAAAAATACGAAAATAAAAGAGATTATTACATTTTGTTTTGTTTATTACATTAACTATATTGATACACATACGGTATTGTGATTAACGTTCGTGTTCATTGAAAGATCGTACCCACGGTATCACCCTCAAATCATCTCCAACTACTCCAATGTTCTCCTATTCTATTTTTTTTTATTTTTCTTTTTTTTTACATTGACAAAGAACACGCGATGCTTTTCATCGAAAGGAAAAAAAAAAATACAAAAAAAAATCGCGGTCGAGGGGATCGTAGCTTTTTTACTCTGCTCGTAGATTTACGATCAAAACATTCTTCATGGCAAACACTAAGAAGAAAAAAAATCAAAGAAAAAGGAGTTACGAGTAGAAGAAAAAATAATAATAATAACAATAAAAAAAAGAATAAAATAAAAAAAGAGGGGTAGAAATGGGTGGAGGGGAGGGGATGGTAAAGAAGAGGGCCTAGGTGGGGAGGTGTTGGAAAATGTAAAGACAGGTAGGTGATGGGACGAAGTAATATTACTGGTAGCGCCATTAACGCCAACTGCAAAGCTTCTGTCAAGGTGGTGGTTGTGTTTAGTGGTGGTAGTGGTGGTTGTTCTTGAGCTTATGCGAACGTGCGCGCGCGCATATACGCCGTGCCACGCTTCCGTGCTCGTTAAAAAACTCTCTCGGTTAGGTACATATCCGAATGCCTTGCGAAAAAAAAAGAGAAAGAAAAAGAGTAAAAAATAAAAAAAAAGAAAAAAGAGAAATAGAGAAAGAGAAAAAGGAAAGCGACTCTACGAATGCCTTTGTGAAAGCCGCCATCGCGTGAAACGCGCCCTCTACCTACGCCCACGCAAAGCACGCGCGCGCACTCACTCACGCACGCATGCACGTACAATTATCAATACGTATATTTTAAAACGCATACTATATTTCAACGTTACACGGCATAAGTGCGGCAACATTCGGCGGGGAAACGTAGAAAACGCCCTTTCTAAACTTTCTGTATTTTCATGCAAATTCTTTTTCGTTTCTCTACCACCCCCCTCCCCTTCCACCCCTTTCTCTTTCTCTCTCTCTCTTTATTTCTTGCTGGCTTTTTCTCTTTCTTCAACGCTCAAACAGCGTTCTCTTTTTATTTCACCTTTCAGGAACACGCACTTACGCACTCTCATGCACGTATGCACCTATACATGTATATCACGTATGAAATGCATGTTCACGTACAACACACATTCGTTATATC